ATATATATATAATTTTTATATATATAAAAATATATAATTATATATATATAATTTTTATATATATAAAAATATAATTATATATATATATAATATTCTCTATATATATAATTGATTTTTACAGAGAGGAAGGGAGAGGGATAGAGAGTTAGAAACATCGATGAGAGAGAAACATCGATGAGCTGCCTCCTGCACTACCCCCGCTGGGGATGTGCCCGCTACAGTTTTTGCTGTCAGTAGATGTATTCCTTGCCCTTGACTGGAATCAAACCTGGGGCTTTTCAGTTCACAGGCTGATGCTCTATCCACTGAGCCAAACTGGTTTTGTCCAGAGAGGAATATTGATGTGAGAGAAATACATAGATTGGTTGCCTCCTGCATGCCCCTGACCAGGGACCCTTGGGTCTGCAGGTCAATACTCTTATCCACTTAGCCAAACCGGTTAGGGCAGTTCTTTGCTTTTTAATCCATGCACATTTTATCTCACATCCTCAGAATGAGGAAGGGACCATGTAGTTGACACTCCGACTGTTCTGTGGTTGCCTGTGAGCTGTTCTCGCTATGGCTGCTTTGGGGCACCAATCAGAGAAATGGTCAGCCTCTGGCAAAAGGAGGGGGGTATGGAGAGAAACAGCACTCTTGTCAGGTTTTCATTAGCAAAGCAATGGAGATGGCTCCCACCCCAAACGGGGGAGGCTCTTGGATGCAGCAAAAATTCCACCGGGCCATCCACGCCAAACATGACATGCCCGTGTGGGAGTGGGCACACCTTTGGGGATGGCTAGCGCCTCCTCTCGTCTGTGTGGACAGCCCTCATCTCCTGCCCCCATAAACCGCCTCCATCTGCTCCCAGTGCTTTTCTTATACTTTTCCATGTCAAAAGAAAAAAAAAAAAAGAGCATTGTATATATATATGACATAAATAAAACACACTGTTTTTCAAAGACTCAGTATTTCCAATGGCACCTGCCTGACAGGTCATTTCCTTTTCAAATCACTCCTTGCTCATGGATGGAAATGCAACTGCTTTTTGTGTACCGGCTTTGTACCCCGTTACTTTCCTGAATTCATTTATTAGATCTAACAACTTTTTTTGTGGTGTCTTTAGGATTTTTCTATGTGTAGGATCATACCTGAAATTAGAGATAATTTTACTTCTTTTCCCCCAATTGGTAGGCCTTTTCTTTTTCTTGTCTAACTGCTCTGGCTAGAACTTCCAGTACTGTGTTGAACCGAAGTGGTGAAAGTGGACATCCGTGTCTTATTCCTGATCTTAGAGGAAAAGTTTTCAGTTGTTCACCATTGATCCGATGTTTGCTCTGGGCTTTTCAGACATCACTTTTATTATGTTAAGGTGTTTCCTTCTATTCCTACTTTGTTGAGAATTTTTATAATGAAAGAGTGTGGAATTTTGTCCAGTGTTTTTTCTGCACCAGTTGAGATGATCATGTCCGCCCCCACTTCATTTTGTTTAGGTGTCTTATTGAATTGATTTTTCCCCTATGTTAAACCTTGCATCTCAGGAAAAATCTCATTTGGTCTTGGTATAGAATCCTTTTAATCTGCTGTTGGATGGTATTTTGTTGAATATTTTTACATCAATGTTTATAAGGAATATTGATGTGTAGCTTTTTAAAATTTCTTCATGATTTAGACTTTGTAGGTTTTGAGTTTCTAGGAATTTGTCCATTTCATCTAAGTAATCAATTTGGCCCTGGATGGTGTGCTCAATGGTTGGAGCTGTTGTAGTTGGGTGGAGTGTTCTGTATAAGTCCATTAGATATAGTGGGTTATTGTGTTAAATTTTCTATTTCCTTACTTATCTTCTCGCTGGTCATTTTTGAGTTGTGTATTGAAGTCCAACTTCTATTATAAAACTCACTTCCTTAAGTTTTGTCAGATTTTGCTTTCAGTAGATGTATAAATGTTTGATTGCTATATCTTCTTGCTAGATTGAATCATATATATATATATATATGCCTAAGCAACTGAATGACCAGTCGACCAGTCAACCAGTTGACACTGGTCACTATGCCACGCACTGACCACCAGGGGCAGATGCTCAATATAGGAGCTGCACCCTGTGGTCACTGCACTCAGTTGACCGACCGGTCTTGGGGGCCCACTGGCCCAGCGGCAATCACACACTCCCTCAGTAATCCTGCAGGTCCAATCTCTAGAGAAAGGGTCAGGCACCAATGGATCTGCACCCCTGGCACGACTCGACAGCATCTCCAGCCTCCTGTAAGTTGGCTTTGTGCACCAGGGCCGCTTTCCCTTCCTAGATGCTCTGCAAGGAAGAAACGATATAAAAGATATAAAAGCAGCCTCCAGGTGGCTCCCAACAATTGGTGCAAACAACAGTGGGACGGATCCAGACCGGCAAGAGCATCCCACCTTCTCTCTTACTTTTAAGATTTTCTCTTTATCTTTATCTTTTGAAAATTTGATTGTAATGTATCTCAGTTTGGGTCTCTTTAACTTCATCTTACATAGAGTTCATTGAGCTTTTTGGATGTTTATATTTATGCATTTCATCAAAGTTGAGAGGTTTCAGGCATTTCCTCTTCAAATATTCTCTCTCCATCCCTTTCTCTTCTTCTGGAACTCCCATGATGCACATGTTGGTTTTGTTGGCCTAAAAATAGAAGGCCTTTCAAGATAAGAAGCAAACACATGTTTATTTGAGATCAGTAAGAATAGCTATCCAGGAAGCACTGATTCAGGTAGAAGCTCAAATAGTGTTCTGGTAAGGAGACAAAGGCAATGGGTATTTATGAGAAAGGGGAGGGGAACAATTATATCCATTTATATCCATAGAAGGAAGGCATTTCTACAGATGCAGATAATATAACATGGTGACGCCAATTCTAAATAATGCTCTCAATTTTCAGTTGAGTAGCCATCAATCTAGTAGTCATAATAACTGTTTTCTTGTTATCTTTGCAAACAATTGGGGTGGGGGAGGCTCAAGATTGCTTAGGCCCAGTCCAAAGTTATTTTGTCCTGCTTTCATATCCAAAGATTTGAGGCATAAGATATGCAAGGCAGTTCCTTTGGGAGGGCAGCTCCGGCTGGCTCCGTTTTAAAGAGACTCAATTTTTATTATTGTTTACAGTGTGCTTTGTGGTGTCACACAGGTCCCTGAGGCACCACACATTCACTTTTCTCCAATTTTTTCCTTTTAGTTTCTCAGCAATAATAATGCATATTGTCCTAGCTTAGGCTCATTGATTCCTCCCTTTGCTAATTCAAAGCTGACTTTGAACCCCCCTAGTGTATTTGGTGAATTTTGTACTTCAGTTATTATACCTTTCAGCTCCAGAATTTCTATTTGGTTTCCTCTTAGGTTTTCTATCATGTAGTGATATTTCCAGTTTGTTCACATTTGCTTTCTGGTCTTGCCTTTTCAGAGTAGTTTTGGGAAGGAGGAGGCTTGTTTCTTTTTTTAATGGAACATTCTCTCCCGTTGCTTTGAATATCTTGTGGTTTTTTTTCTTGAACACTGGACATTTGGATCTAATAACTTAACTCTGGGAATCAGATTCTCCCCCTTCTCCAGGGTTTGCTGGTTTAGTCTTTTTATTTATTTTTATTTTTTTATAGGCTGTCTCTGTGCCTCGGATGAGCCTGAGATGTTTCCTCGGGTCTTCTCTGGGAATGTGTTGCCACTTTGTAATTTTCCTCTATGTGTAGTTGTTTTTGTGATTAGATATGTTTCCATCGATTTTAGAGAGAGGGGAAACTCAGGAATGAGAGAGAGAAACAGATTGGCTGCCTCCCGTATACACCCCCATCGGGATTCGAATGGGCAACCTGGGTATGTGCCTTAACCAGGAACTGGATCTGCAACGTTTTGGTTCACCAGACAACACCCCAATCAACTGAGCCACCAGGCCAAGGTGACAGTTGTTTTTGAACATCCTAGTTTTAATGTCTGGCTCCCGGACATTCTCCCTTTAAATCTCACAGAAGCCACTTGAGCTGGGGAGGGGCTTCATACCTAGGGGGAAGGGCAACGACCATGGCTGCATCTCTTTAGCCAGAAGCAGCAATCAGCCATCCGCACCGGCTCCCAATATTTGGAAGACAGTCTTTTTGACCACATTGGCTTCCACAGTCTGTAGGAGTTGCTGTGTACGAAACCAGAAACCACGTGCATAGCTGCCTGCCAGGGAGTTGGGGGGGGGGGGGGAATGGGCAGCCTCACTGTGCTAGACAATGGAATTTACCAAAATTGACCATTATTACTGTCCAACTCATCTTCTTGAAGTTGCAGACCTTCAATGCAGACTCCAGAGTTCCTAAATGGTGTCACCAGACAGTTTCTGTCCTGCTGGGGAGAAATTCCTGGTACTTCCTCTCCACCATCTTCCCAGAACTGACAGGCACTCCTAACCCTTCCGCCTATTGTTCGTTCTCTTTATCGCGGTGTCTTGTTAGTACCTCGTAATCTTCCCATCGTTTCATTGGTTGCCGTGGGTCAGTTTTGAGATTGGTAGAAAGTCCATCGGGGGGGACGCGGCTGCACTTGAAGTTGGCCTCAAACATTTGCCTGGTGAATACTGTTGGGCCAGCCCAGCTGCTACCAGGATGGCTGTGAGCATATCATTATCCTGAAGGATGTTTGATGCTTTCCAGAACGGGAAAGTGTGACAGAATGACAGACAGTTCAACTCTGAAGTGTGAGTGTGTGTGTGTGTGTGTGTGTTTGGGTGTGAGTGTGTGTGTGTGTGTGTGTGTGTGTGTGTGTGTGTGTGAGTGTGTGTGTGTGTGTGTGTGTGTGTGTGAGTGACTTGGGGGCTGGGGTTAGTCGGGCCTCCACTCTTCCGATGGTCCCCGGGGTCCCGTGGAGGTGGGGGGAGAGTCTGAGAAGCGGCTGAAAGGTGAGCCGCAGGGAGAGCCGAGATGGGCCTGATGCAGCCCGGACCGCAGGCGGCTGCGCCGCTTTGTTGTGCTTTTGTCGCTGGGTCCCCTGTCTTGACTCTCCTCTTCTCTTGCAGAGGAGGCCGAGCACGGCGGCGGCCTGGCGACCGGCTCGCTCTCGCGGCGCAAGAAGGCGCTGGCGCTGCGCGAGGAGGGGCCCCGCCGGCGCGCGCACCTGCACATCGGGCTCCCGCACGACTTCCGCCCCGTGTCCTCCATCATCGACGTGGACATCCTGCCCGAGACGCACCGGCGCGTGCGGCTGTACCGGCACGGCTGCCAGAAGCCGCTGGGCTTCTACATCCGCGACGGCGTGAGCGTGCGGGTGGCGCCGCAGGGGCTGGAGAAGGTGCCGGGCATCTTCATCTCGCGCATGGTGCCGGGCGGCCTGGCCGAGAGCACCGGGCTGCTGGCCGTGGACGACGAGGTGCTGGAGGTGAACGGCATCGAGGTGGCGGGCAAGACGCTGGACCAGGTCACGGACATGATGATCGCCAACAGCCACAACCTCATCGTCACGGTCAAGCCGGCCAACCAGCGCAACAACGTGCTGCGCGGCGGCCGCGCGGCCTCCGGCAGCTCGGGCCGCTCCTCGGACAGCGCGGCCAGCAGCCGCCACAGCCTGCAGGCGCCCGCGCCGCCCGGCCTGCCCGCCGCCGCCGCCGACGACATGGAGAGCGACGAGGAGCCCGACGTGGTGCTGGAGGGCGACCTGGAGCCCCGGGCGGCCCCGCGGCTACCGCCTCCCGGCGGCGGCGGCGGCGGCCTCACCCGGCTCAACGGTTCGGGCCCGGCGTCCGGACTGCACGGCGGCGGCGCCCAGAGCCGCGAGAGCAGCCTCCAGAGGCTCATCAGCTCCCTGCGGTCCGACCCCCGCCACAGCCTGGCGCTGCCCCCTGGCGGCGTGGAGGAGCACGGCCCGGCCGTCACCCTCTAGCGGGGCGCCCTGCCTGCAGCGCCGCTGGGCATCCCCCCTGTAGCATCCTGGCCCAGCCCCAGGGACCAGTCCCCTCCAATTTTTTTTTTTTAAATAAGAAAATAATTGTATATGTCACCCCTCCTCCTCTGTATTTTTATTTATCCCTCCCTTTTCTTCCACAACCCTACTGGATGTTTCAACGGATGGACAGAAAATGAAAAATACTGCCTATTTTTTTTTTTAAATAAATTTCTCCACAAACGGAAGGTGCCCACATTTGCGTGCACACACCAGGCCCGTTGCAGGTACAGGGCCTTTGTAAAGTTATTTTCTGACCAAGTGTAGAACATACTTGCTTTTTAAAAAATTTTTTAAAAAGACTTTATTTTTTTAAAGGAAGCTTTAAAATTACCCTTTAAAAGGACAAATTCGTGTTTTTAAACGTCAGCGATGCAAACACACCTACGTGTTGGCGGCCTCAGTCTTCTCCGTTTCGCGTGGAACCTTCTGGTGGGCTGGACGCAGCGAAGAAGGTACATGGCAAGAAGGGAAAGACTGGTTTTTAAGAACAGACGCACCCACATCTCTAAGGGGTGTGACTGTAGAAGACAAATATCAAATGGTCAGTTCATAGTCCTGTGTCAAATAGCCAAATGGGAGCTGCACTCCCAGACCTCACTGGGAAAAGGAGCTCTCCAGAGGTCATGCCCGTGACCTGGGACGCCCCGAGGGCTATCAGTTGCCCTCAGGAAAGCAGCCAGCTCTGTTTAGCAATTCCGTTTGTGATCAACAACCAGTATTTACTTGGAGATAAAAAACCAGTCTTTTCCATGACTTCACTGACTCTGAGCACAATTTCTGAAATGTTTCCCTAGAAATGGTGGACAACCCTACCATACCTCCAGACAAGCCTTTGAAAGCTCACATACATTTGGGACTATGTCTGTTACCTTCATTTTAAAATATCTTCATATGAAACGTGATGGTTTTTTATGTCGGATTAAATCCATTGCCACTTCCCTTTGATCTTTTTTTAGCAATATTTACATATTTAGGAATTTTGAATGTTTTATTCATGTTTATACCAATGAAATTTTATATGAAGTGTATATTATGTTTGAATCCAATATTGAGAAAATGTTAGTTATATTTTGAGGACTAAACTTTGACCAAATAAAGCTTTCATATATTATACATACAGGTAAAAATATTTTTTAAGTGGCCTTTTTCAATGCAAGCTGCTTCTCCTGTGACCCAGCTCCCCCTGCTGGTCAATGGCAGAACTGTCCTTCATGGATGTCAGACTGTTTTAAAACTATCTCACTGTTTTCATTTTTCCTGAACTTGTTAAGTGAAAAACAAAGTATCTTTCTTTTGTGCATAAAGTATTTATTGTTCAGAAATAACTTTTATTGAGTACTTGTGCCCTGCGCCTATGTTCGATTTTTTTATTTGAATGCCAGTCTCTCTTCTACCCATTTTTCCCTTGGCACAGGGAAGACCAAAGACATTCCCCATTTTGAGGTCCTAGTGAGAGTGCACACACTCCCAAATTTATGGGCTCCAATGAACTGTGCAAGCATCTTGTTTGGTGCCCCAGCAGTCGGAGGTATTTTTTTTTTTAAACCATGACATGTATTATAAAACCAAAACTCTAATGTAACATACTACCACAAAGGAAATGTTATTTTACTAAGTTATTGCTGGTTGACGAGTATCTTATTGATATAACTGGGTCTGTTACCAAGAAATAAAGTTATATTTCTTACCATGTTTTAAGTTGTTAAGCAAATGTGAATAATTTTTTTAAAGAAAAAAAAGATTGTGTGCTATTCAGAATTTTAGGAGTTACAAACTGCTTGGAATAGCTGCTTGCGTGTATTTTTCTACCCAGGTCTATACTTCTGCCATTTTCTTTAAAAAAACAAACAATATTGTATTACGTGTTAAAGTTTTCTTGGTTTTATATATCAAAGAATAAAAACATTTTCTTTGTGTTCCTCAGTTGTGTTCTAAATAACAGAGAGAATATCAGTGTTAACAACAAAACAGATAAACTTATAGCTCTGGTGGGATGCCTGGAATACTTATGACATGCCTGTCATTGCCCATATATATACTTATTTTTTAAGCCTCACCAGAGGATATGTTTTTATTGATGAAAGAGAGAGAAAGAGAGAGAAATATTGATGTGAGAAACATCTATCATTTGCCTCCTGTACACTTCCTGACCAGGTTCAACTTGACAAGGTTTAACCAGGGATTGAACTGGCAACCTGGGCATGTGCCCTGACCAAGAATCAAACTCATGACCCTTCGGTGCAGGGAGAATGCTCCAACCAAAGGAGCCACACTGGCCGGGGCTGTCATGGGTCATATTTTTTCCACTTAATCTTCACATGTTCTCCATGAAGCAAGTATTATCCTCATACAGATGAGAAAATGGGTCAAACTCAAACAGGTAGTAGTGTCATTTTAAATTACCAAATTATAGACGTATTCGGTGGGAGATTGATGTATCATAGGTCTATAACTTTCTTTTGAAATCCTTTTGAAAAAGCTTTTCTGAATTCTTACACAGCTCCTCCTAAATATACTCTGGTTTGAAAAATTTGCAATAACACATTATCATCCCACTTCTGGATTAAAAAACACACAAAAACAATTTTAAAAATATATGTGTCCTATATTCATCACAGCATTTTCAATAGCCAAGACATGGAAACAACTTAAGCTTCTATCACTGGAAAAATGAATAAAGATGTAAAGATATATAATGGAATATTATTCAGCCACAAAATAATAAAATCTTGCACAATGTTACAAGGATCAATCTTGAGGACATATGATAAGTGAAACATGTCAGAGAAAGACAGATACAGTATGATCTCGCTTGTATGTGGAATTAAAAACAAACAACAAAAGATACAGGAAACAGATTGGTGGTTGCCAATGGGGATGGTAAAAAGGTTTACAAACTTTCAGTTGTAAACTAAGTCATGAAGTTGTAATACAGAATGGCCAGGGGTGAACCTGAAGAGGGGTGGTGAAGGATTAAAGAAGACAGACAAGAGAATACATTTCCCGGGCTGGAAACCATTGTTAGAGATTACGAATAGCCAAACACAAGCTGAGACACTCTGCCTCTTGTCCTTCCTCTGAAATCACACCGAGTGACAGCCGCAGGCCCTTCACTAACCCTGGTCTCCCCTGCAGCTGCGGAACCAGTGCATGCACTTGGCTGCCCTTACTGAACTTCAACGGCTTTGCCACCTCTCATTGAGATCAATGATTATCACACAGTTAAAACTCCATTAAAAATATCTTTATTGATTTTAGAGAGGAAGGGAGAGGGGAAGAGAGATAGGACATTGATGGTGAGAGACAATCATTGGTCTGCTGCCTCCTGCACGCTTCTCCTCCCTCCTTCCCCAAAGGGGATTGAAGCCCACGCTTCAGGCATGTGCCCTTGACCAAAATCTAACCAGGACCCTTTAGTTTGCAGGCCGACGCTGTATCCACTGAGCAAAACTGGCTAGGGCAAAACTATTTTTAAAAGACTTGTGTTCATTCTGAAGTGGCATACAGTAGGAAATAAGTCAATCACTCCACTTCCAACTTTCCAGCTACTAACCAAGAAAAGCTGCTTAACTCTCCGCTGGTTTGCTTGGCTGCAAAAAAGAAAGTCTCACCTGCCTCTCCCACAGGATTGACCAGAGACTCATAGGGCCAGAGACTGTAATTGCCACACAAATGCAAAAGACACTCTTAGGAATTACATTCCATTGCAACATCAAAATAAAAAAAAATCACACTTTTCTTTTTTCTCATGGCAAATCTCAGAATTTGCCTTTAAAGAAAGACTCGCTTGTTATCAAACAACTCATCAGGTACCAGTACATGAATGCTCTCCGCCCACTCCCAGCTTTGGTTGGTGAGGAAGCAGTAAGAAAAGCTCAGGAGGTGAATTTCCCATCCAGTCAACAGGGGACAAGTGTTGAATCCAAGCCCAGGTTATACTTGGATGCACTTCTAACTGGCCACTTTTGGCTTCTTCTGCCAATCAAATTCTTTAAATAGATGAATAAATGAATGAATGAATGAATGAATGACTGCAGGGAGGAGACACATTTGGATGCCCCATGTGCCTGTCTACAGCTGCACGTCGCTATCATTGACTGTTACTGTTTAAATACGTGTACATTAAAATTCACACACATCAGAAAGCACCTCAGCCCGGGCTCCGTAGTTCCTTTTACAAATGGCCTAAATGAAAACAAGACAAGTAAGTTCTGCAACAAGCTAGAAGTGCTAGAAATGACTTCCAACTTCCGGGCTGGGTACTGTGGCAAGAAGTTGTTTATAATCGTGAGAGACAGGCTACTACCACGGGAAGACAGGCTACTATCGCGAGAGACAGGTTACTATCGCGAGAGACAGGCCACTATCGCGAGAAACAGGCTACTATCGCGGGAAGTAGGCTGTTTTCGCCACGTGAAGACTGTTGGGAGAGGCAGCCGCCATTGCAACAAGCTGCTGCGTGACGAGAGCGAAGTATTTATCTTGTGAGAGGCAGCAAAGGGACCGGACTGTGTCTTGACAAGCATCTACAGGACCATTTCTGTGGTAGGTAATAATGATAATAGGAGGGAAAGTACAATATGGTTTCAAATGGAAAGAGCCCGATCATGTTGTTTTGTTTTGTTCATTGGATTTTACATTGAGTGGGGTCATGAGGTGCTTGTCTTTCTCTGGCTGGCTTATGTCACTGGACATGGGTGCTCTCCAGGTCCATCCATGCTTTTGTGTGTGTGTGTGTGTGTGTGTGTGGGCGGGGGTTGCGGGTGGGGATTGATTTCCTTTTGGACAGTGGTGCTCTACTTGTATAAATGTACCGAATTGGTTTTTAACCCAATATTTATGTTATATTTACTCAATGCAAAAAGTTTTTAAGAAAACTCTTCCTCGCCCTGACAGGTTTGGCTCAGTGGACAGAGCGTCGGCCTGTGGACTGAAGG